TTCAGGTCTTTACCTTCTCCTGCCTTGCCCCTAAACATTTCAACTCCTTTTTGTATGTTGTCTTCCTCCATTAGAATGAAAGCCTTTTGATGGCAGAGGATTGCCTTCATTTTTGCTTGTATTTGTATCCCCAGCACCTGCCACAGTGCCAGGCACATATAAGTGCCTAACAAATGCTAGTTGCCTATTTGTCTTTCTTCTGTCTCTGAATCCCCTGCACCTAGTACAATGAATGGCAATAAGTAGGTGCTTAATAAAAGACTGCTAATTGAGTGGTAGCAAAATAAGAGCTTTCATGTTATTGCCTATCTTCTACTTCTATTTTAGCTAAGCATCTATCTATCTAACAAAGTATTTGTTTTATGTAAAAAGTTTTGAGGATGGTTGTAAAGAACAAGGGCAAAAATAAAAGAAGTTCAATTTAGTGTGCAAAATTGCATGACAACTTGTTAACATAAATATCTATTTAAATTCAAATAAAGATTCCACTATAATATGTTTTCCTCTAAGATTAATATATTAATGAAAATGTGAATGCTAACCACGATAAGACTGTCTGGTGTATCAATATCCCTTCCACTTGAGGGAAAACACATGAAATACCTTTTGAGGAGTGAAAATAACTAGTCTTTATATAATATTTTAAATTTTACTGAAAGCTGCAGATAGATTACCTGAGGCTAACAACTATAAGGTATTATTTTAACTTACTCATGGTTACACAGCTTGTGTCAGAAGCAAAATTCAAACCCAGACCCCAGAGGACCTGGAAATACATTTTCTAGGTTTTACCTAGGTTTTGTTACAAAAGTTATTTTGAAATGATGGGAATAATTATATTACATATTAGTATTTATCTATTTATACAGTTTATAATACAAGACTTGTTAATTCATGTTCCTTTTCATTATTTTCTCATGATGTATACTTCACTGATAAAAGTTCCTCCACTGGATATTATCCAGATAAATTAGCTCTTCATATTTATGGTTTTCCTGCCTCAAGTCTCTCCCTACTCCAAGCCATCTTAACATTGCTGTCAAAGTGATTTTCCTTAATTTTTAAGTCAAGATCTGACCACGTTACTCCTCAACTCAACCAATCTGAGTAACTTCCTCTTGCCTCTAGGATAAACTGCAAACTCCTCTTTTTAGCTTTAAAAGTCCTGTACACCCTAGTCCAAAACTATTTTTCTAGCCTCACTGGACACTCCTCCCCCTCCTACATTTTGCAATCAAGCCCAACTAGCCTTCTGTTACTCATACACTACAATTCACCTCCTATTTCACATACTCACTTACCCAAATACCTCACAAAGAACCTCTATTCCTATAAGATACATCTGAGGTACACATAAAACCTTTCTTGATACCCCAAAAGTTAGTGCCCTTACTCCAGGGGTGATGACGGAACTAGCCCAAACCAGCTTGAGAGAGCCAATTGTTAAATTTTCAGTGTAGGGATGAATGAATAAATGAATAAACATGTATTAAGCGCCTATTATGTGCCAGGCCCTGTGCTAAACACTAAAAACAGAAATAAGAAAGATAGTTTTTGTCCCTAAGGAGCTTACAGTCTAATGGGGAAATATATATTTATACCACAAAAACCAGACAAATGTTACAACTCAAGCTTGACTTACTATTTGTTGATTATTTAGATCAGAGGTTCCCAAACTTATTTGGCCTAATGCCCCCTTTTCAGGAAAAAAAAAAAAAATTACTACAGCGCCCCCTGGAAATATACTTTTTTTAACCCTTTAACGTATTTTTCAGTCTGCATCATTTAAAAAAATATAAATTTTTTTTAAAAATGACATCTTAAATTTAACAATTTACTGTAAATTTGAGTTTTTCCTGCATTGAAATTTTGATGAAACAATATTACATCATATAACTATATACTTTCATACTGTAAACAGGTCATTACATGTATATATTCCTGCCAATGCATGCTGGATTTCCTGACAACATGCGCCACACTCACCTGCCAACACTTGCTTATTAAGATCTGTCAACAGACTTGACCACTGATCAGTTACAACTTGCATTTTGTGTATTTAGAAAATAACGTACTCACACTACAACTTTAACTCTGTTATACAACAGATGAAACATGTACGAAGGGCTTTTCAAAATTTTCATGTCTTTTCTTCTTATTCTTCTACTGTCCCTTTATTTTTATTCAACACCCCTAATTGCACTCAAGGCTACTACTGAGCCCCTGGATTGTTCTAGCGCCCCCAAGAGGAGGTATCACCAACTTTGGAAACCTCCGACTAGATTTTTGAAAATAATGAAGAAAAATGGTAATAATGCAGATTAAATTTACAAGTGCCCATTGTCTCGCCCATTGTATCTGTATTTCTAAATCCTTCTAGGTACTTAATAAATACGTGATTATTGACTGATGATACCAATTTTTTTTCCACTGCAGAGGACTTTTCTAGCCATTTAACTATAAATCTATTAGGGCTTCCAAAAATGAAATAGATTGCCTTGTTAAAAGCTCACCATTGCTGAAAGCATTTAAATATGCTATAAGACATGTTACAAAAGACATTGCTATATTGGGAAGAAGTCATACTAGATGACTTCTATGGTCTTATCTACATGAGATTTGCTATCTTACTAAATATTAAAATAATTAAACAATCTAAAATTTTAATATTGTTAGTACACATTAAACAGGTTTTATAAAATGCTCTGTTGGTTAGGCTATATTGTTTCCAATTGAATTTAGCTTTTCCTAGGCTGAGTATACAAGAAAAAATTATCTCATTTCTACAGAGATGAGATAATTAAAAACTTTGAATAAAACATAACTTTTTTTAAAAAGTTATTTCCTTATATTGTTTAAATGTTGAAACTTCATATTAACTAATCATTCTAATCCTCAATCTACGGATGCTTATAAAGAAAAACAATCTATTAACTTTTCCTCTACAGTTTAAAGCACTATGTACTCTCTTAGAGCAAAAGTCATTTGTCTTTTTCAAAGTTGTTTCTCCTGGCAAATTTCTTTACTGTCTGGCCAAGTTTTGTGTTAAAAATAAAGTACAGTATTACAACATCCATTAACATTTAATGTGCTTAATGATCTCTGAAAGCAAAAATACAATGATCCTTCTGAATCCACCAAGTTGATCAAGAATTCATTTCTAATATCAAAAATGCATACAGCTTTTGTAGAATTTAAATCTCTCAACAGTTATGAATGTATATAAAAGATAAATTAATCACCCAGACGAATGTAAGATGACACCTTTTAAGAAAGGTTGTAAAACTTGCAAAAAACATATTTAAAAACTTAGAAGACAGAAGAAATGTCTTTTTATACCGCTTTCCTATCTGAGCAACACTGACTGCTTGCCTTTGCCTCAAATTCCATAGTTGTTTAAGAATAACAGAACTTTTATGTGTTTTTTGTTAATTCTACAAAATGAATTATTAAATACAAGATGAAAATTACTTTAAACTTCTAATGCATCAGTGTAGTAGAAAATACAATATAACAATAACATATGTAGACTACAAATATGTGTAACAAAATTTATAGATAAGATTTTTAAATGGCACTGTTGTTAAAGGGGTAACATTTTTCGAGAAGTAGTTCAGCAACTTTGACAATACATGTGATAATACATATGATAAAGCAGAAGAATTTTTGACTCACCAAAGTTCCTGTTCTAGGAATTATGACATTCAGATCAATGTCTTCAACTGAGAGCGTGGTTAGATTTTATATACTAGTACACCATCTATCACTGAGATGACAATCCTTAGTAAGTTGAGAATATTTCTTGGCTCTATTACCTAGTCTGTTTCTAGGATGTAGATTTCTTTAGCAACTAAGGTAGACTAGAACTCTCAATGGTTTCCAGTTGTCTTATGGACAATATTGTATAAAGAGTAGACCTGTTAGGATCTGTTAACTTTCTTTTCAATTTAATTATCTTTTTTTTAATAAACAAAAACCCATTTTCTCTCCCACTCTTCCACTAAAAAAAGAAAAACAAAACCCTTGAAATAAATATGTATAGTCAAGCAAAACAAATCCTGCATTGGCCATGTCCAAAAAACAGGTTTATTCCAGAGGACTTTTGATAGAGCATTCTACCTACTTCCTCAGAAAGAAGTGATGGACTCAGGATTTTTTTTTCCAACCACATACTCCTAAAGGGATGTAATCATCTTCCTATATCCACCAATGAGCCCAGGAACTGATCTCTATGTGAATAAGAATGTTATGGAGTAGTGAGTCAGAATGAAGGAATTCTTGGTGCTGGTGCCTTACATCTGTTTTTCTGGATAATTTTCTGGCCTCTTGAGTTTCTAAAGACCTTCTGTTTCCTAACAGCCTGTCTGGACTTTTGAGTATGTTTTGATTTGTTCTTAAGTTCTCATCTGCCTGACTCCTTGCCCATATCACCTGCCCTACCATCCAGTATTTATCTATGCACTGACTCTTGCTTGCATGGTTCCTTACACAATGACTACCCGGAGTAGTTTCTAGTACATTATCTCTCCTGAACCATATATGTGTCTTTATAAACTCTTAGGACTTCTTTGAACAGCACTTTCAAGTATGGCCCTAGAATAGACCCCTTTCATACATAATTGAAGAGGTTACACATAAGGATGATATATTAGCCAAACGTTACTCTCCAAAATGTATACTGTACAACATAACAAGCCTGAGTCTTCTCCTTGTGACAAAAGGCAAAAATTTACTAGATGCCAGGCCACAGTTCTGGATGAAATTTGTGACCATAGAACAGAATGAAATAAAAAACCATAGGAAGGAACAGAATTTAAGGTCCTGGGTATGCTTCAATGCTATGCTTCAATGAAGTGGAACAGAACAAACAGAGTCAACTGGAATACAAGCCATAAAACACGCTACAATGAGACTGACCATGCTTTATTATTAAAGATGCCTATCTTCAGTACATTTCAGATTTAACACTATTCTTTTAGAATAAAGATGTATATTTATACCTTGTTTTTTAAGTTCTTCAATTTGTTCTTCCTTGAGATCCAATTGTTCTGTAAGTCTTGATGCTGAATCTAAGGCAGCATTTGCTTCTTCCAAGTTTTCCTTTAAGGGAAGAAAGCTCATTAGAATTTACTATTCAAATTCAATAGCATAGAATTTAGGTCTAGATTCCAACTATAAGAGGGATAATTAAAACTGGAGCACATTCAAGAAGGGCAACCAAGATGGTGAGGGGAAAAAAACAAACAATAAAATAACTAAGAAGAAACTAAGGATGCTTAGTTTGGAGAAGAGAAGACACTGGGAAGTATGAAAGCTATCATCAAGCACTTAATGAGCTATCATGTAAAAAGAGGATTAAACTTATTTTAGGCAGAAATGAGAGAAATGGGTGAAAGGTGCAAAGAGGTAGATTTCTGCTTGATATAAAAAATTCCTCTAACATTCAGGGCTATCCAAAAGTGGAATTAACTGCCTCATAAAGTAGTGTGAAAGTTATTGAGAATGTCAGGATACACATTCCTACACAGACTGGAGTGAATGACCTCTAAAATATTGTCTAAATCTGATATTCTATGAATTACAGGTAGAATAAACTGCAGAGTTCTGTAGTCAGTCAGTCTCTAAACACTACAGATTAGAATACTGAGGTGGCAAAGAGGCCCAATGCCACATACCTAATTAAAATCAGAGATAGCACTAGAATCCAGGCCTCCCAACTCATACTCCTCTGTTGCTTCTACACTACCACACTACCTCTCCTAGAAATAGCAAACTTAAAGAGTAAGAGGGGAAAAGTTATTTGGACAAGAGACTGACACGCTAAAAGCAAGGCAGTAATCACAAAAACTCAAAAAGCAGAGAATTACTCAAAAAGCACAGCTTTTTAGAGCTATTCTGCATAATGATAGTTTTACTCATTAATAGTCTCAAAGAACATAATTACATCATTATTCAATAACTGATGTTAATATTGATGATCCTGAATTATCAAGAACAGGTTAAATTATGTTTAGTTTACTTTAAAAAGTAAGGTATTGCACCTTAGACATGACATAAAATAAAGAACAATAAACTCAAAAACTTGGATTCTGGTCATACACTGGGCTTAGAAAAATCATTTTAACTCACACTGGGCCAAAGTTTACTAATTTCATCTAAAATGATGAAATTGAACCAGATGATCTCTAAGCTTCTCATCAATGCAAATACTATGAATTAGACAGATGCCAACAAAAATGATTAAAATAAATTTCAGTGTCTAAAGGCATAATCTTCAATTACCTAGAAAGTTCACTAATGTGGAACAGTTTATTCATCAAAGATGCCAGATAATTGCAGACTTGGAGGATATGGTTTTGGATCCTGACTTTCCACATGCTAGCTGTGTGACCTTGGTCAAGTCACAACTCTCTGAGTCTCAATAGTATATAGTGAAAAGAATACCGGCATGGAAACCTGTAAAACTGAACTTCAATGTTGGCTCTATCACTCCCTGGCTACATGATCATGATTCATTCCCCTTCTTTGGATCTTTTGGCCTCTTCATCTGCAAAATGAAGTGGCTAGACTAAAAGATCCCTAACGAATGGCCTAAAGGAGATCTAAAACTGATTATGGCAATGATCTCAGAAATAGGAATACTACTGTTTATACTAACGATCCATAGAAGTGCTGTGAACATCAGAAATTATTATGACACAGTGTATTTAAAGTTTTCGAAACTGCAAAAATCTCTAAACATCAGATGTCAGTATAGTAATGTTATAATATACCAACCAGAAACACAATCTAATCATGCCTTATAAAATTATTTGCTCCAAATAAAATAAGAAGGGGGTTAGGGTGGGGGCAACGTCTCTACAATCAGAGAAGAGTAAAAGTGAAGTGAATACCTGTATAAATAAAGATGAATGTAGGTTGTATGTGCGTCTGATTTTGTAGGTATTACTTCTATTTCCCAATTTGCTTTGGCTAGAGAGACTTACACTGACTCAATTTCCCACCTCAATTTTAAGATATGTGTGTGTGTATATATATATGTATGTATGTATGTATGTATGTATGTATATACGTATGTATGTGCATATATGTATATATGGGCTATAGTTATTTATTTCCAAATATTTTTAAATGCCTAGTGGCAGAGAGTAATCTATTTTTCGCCAATAAAAAATAAACAGATTGGAGATCAAGCAATGTGCTCAAAGCCAGAAATTCAGGGGCAAAATTTACATTCTCTGAGTTTATTACAGTGTTCTCCTTTATGATATTCAAGAGCTCTCTAATATTTATCCTGATTTTACATCATTTCACACATATAATTTAATTGTTCAAAGAAATAAGAATGAGAAATCTATAAGAGATTATATTTTGCATACTTAAAAGGAAAATCCCTTATACTTACCTGTAATGATGTAACCTGTCCTTCTAGATTCTCTGCTTTTCTCTTCCATTCAGTCATCTCTTTTTTTTGCTTTTCTAGTTCAGCTGAATACATAGCTTTTTCTTCTACAAAAAAGTTTATTATTTATGTTTTTCATTTTATTTAAACTTTGATACACATTTTAAAAAGCTTTGAGTAATGCAACAGAAACATCTGAAATGCTCTCTTAAAAGGAAAGTTGCTGTGCTTCACTTTAAGATATTAACTTTAGAAAAAAGAGACACTACCTTAAATAAAAGTAATATTATTATTACCTAAAAAAAAGTAGAGCTAGTCTTTAATTGATTTCATCTGGCCCTCAGGGTAAAACTACTAATGGTTACTGGAGTAGCTGCACCCAGAAAATTATCTGAAATAATATTAGCTACTCCAGTTATCCCATCCAGAGTACAGTTGAAGAACTATGATAAATGGTTAATCAGCTAATATACTTTTCAAAGAGTAATAAATAATAGGTGAAAATGCTCTCAAATCCACTGCCAGCACAAACAGTAGAGTGAAACTTCTAACATACATTTCAATATCTATCTCTGATCTTTCTCTCCTACAGGTCTTTTGCCCTCCTTTCCTTCTTTCATCCTCATGCCCTATTTCTTTCGCTTATTTTTCCACTGTATGTGGTGAATATTCTCTATTCCTAATTTTGAAATAAACATCAGAAATTCATAAAAGAACTGAAACATAAATTGAGCTGTTACTTGTGCGTGGCCCTCCACGTATATTTCCTATGGTCAGTGGACCTCAAGAGTAAAAAGATTAGATCATGTAACCTAAAATGGAGAAAGGAATAAAAAAAGTTGTCTCTAAACAATTATTTTTCACTAGAGTAGATAACATATAATTTACCTTGCTGAAATTGTTCTAGTACCATCTGTAGATTGGCTAGTGACAGTGCATACTGTTTTACTTGGTCCTGAGAAACAGAAAGCTGAAGTACAGTTTCATCTCTCTGCCTGGAAACTACATTCAATTGCTCTTGCAAAGATTCCACCTGCAAACTGGCTTGATGACTTGAATACAAAAAAGAATCAGAATAAAAACATATAAAATTATCTATATGCTGAGACATTTTGACAAGAATGGAACATTTACAAAGTAAGCCTTTAACGTGAACCATTTAGATATTAATATTTCATTTATCAAATAAAGTTGAGGTTAGAAATATCTTTACTGAAGAATAATTTTGAGCTATTATTGTGACAGTGATTTTCAATAAGTAATGGTTATATTAAAAATCAAAAATTAAGAGGCAGTGAGGCACAGTACAAAGCTACTGACTCTAGAATCAGAAGATTTAGGTTCAAACCATATCACTGATGTTCATCTCCTGTGTGGCCTTGGACAAGTAACAATTGCCCTCTTAGCTTCCTCACATAGAAAACCAAAGAGTTAGACGTGATGGCGTCTCAGGCCCCTTCCAGCTCCAGATCTCTGATCCAACAACACTATGACTAAAGACTGTCATCGCAGAAAAATAAGCATTAATATGATTCTGCCACTGTGCATCAGGGCTAAAATTCTGAATCACAGCTTCTCATGGAAAAATGAAATCTGAGGAGTCAGGAGGAACCTCAGTACTCATTTGGTCTGAGCTGAAGCAGACCTTCCAGTGCAGTATTTAACTTTCGTTCTCATGAGTTTTCTTTATTTTGATACCTAACAGAAGACAGGTAGGAAGAAGTTTGACAGTAACTTGGGCCAGAGCTGTCCTACAAGGGACTCTGACAGGTAAGCTTCAAGGGATGTCTTACAATGAGACAGAAATCAGACTGTTACTGTATCACACAGTCACACAGCACCTTTACAAAGTTTACAAAAAATGTTCCTCATATCCGTTGTTACCCGATACAAGGGTTATTCCATTTTACTGATGAAAAAATGAAGCTCCTGCCCTGAAGTCAGGAGGACCTGAGTTCAAATCCGACCTCAGACCAAACACTTGACACTTACTAGCTGTGTGACCCTGGGCAATTTCTTAACCCCAATTGCCTCACCAAAAAGAAAAAAAAAGAATGAGGCTCAACGAAGTGAAGTTATTTGATCAAACTAGGAAGTGGCAAAACTGTGAATAAAATTCAAGTCTTTTGATTTCAAAACTAAGGTTCTTTTAAGTTACTTTCAAAAGCTAAGAGTCTATAATACTGCAACATTCAATTATGTTTTAGAATTTTAGCTAAAACACAATCAGCATCTTGGTTTCATTTTATCCTCTAATGACTTTTCCTTTTTAACCATAACATAACTTTTGATACGGTCTTTAACAGACCACATTTCCTGAAAATCGGTGTCACAAAATTGAGCTTAAAAGTATCTGTAACAAGCTCACGTGAACTTTTCAAGTAAAGACTAAATTCTAAAGGGGCAAATAATAAACAGAGGTATAAATATATGCAGAATAAATATAGAATATGCAGAATAACTACAAGGTAGTATGGCAGGGGGGAGCACTAGCAGTCGAGTGGATGAAGACAGGCTACATGTAAAATATGGTGCTTGAGCTGAGTTTTAAAAAGGACTGTAGGGGCAGCTAGGTGGCGCAATGGATAGAGCACCAGCCCTGGAGTCAGGAGGACCTGAGTTCAAATCAGGCCTCAGACACATAACATTCACTAGCTGTGTGACCCTGGGCAAGTCACTTAACCCCTAGCCAAAAAAAAAAAAAGAACTCTATTAAGTAGCAGTGAGGAAAGAGTACATTCCAGGAACAGGAGACAGCCAATGCAAAATGGAGTGCAGTATGAGAGGAACAGAGGTCAGTTTAGCTAGATTGCAAAGTGTGGAAGGGAGAATAACGCTAGAAATGCTAAATGCTAAAAAAACAAGATGGCCAAGTTGTATCAAGCCTTAAAAGCTTAAAAAGAGGAGTTTATATTTTGTCCCAATGGTAATAAAGATCCTATGGAATTGGTTCCATAAGAAAGTTGCAAAATTATATTTAAGGTTCATAGTCAATTCAATTTACTGTATTATAATGGCAGACACATGGAGACAATCTATTCATCACTATATATAAAGCTGCACATGCCTAGATTTCATTTCATTGGTGATAATTAATATTCACATTATGGATTTGGGGGCAAGGGATTGGGATAATGTATACAATATGGAAAACAGAAGAAGTGTTGCCCCTACCTCAATAACTCCCATGCAAGCCCTTTCTCTACTCACACCTTAGCTCAGGTCCTCATCACCTCTCCCCTAGATTATTACAACAGTCTCCTAATTGATTTCTCTACCTCAAATTACTACAAACTACAGTCCATTATTCATACTACTACCAAAGTAATTTTCCTCATGCACAGATCTGTCACTCTGCTACTCAATAAACTCCAGCGGTTTGCAACTGTCTCTAGGAGCAAATATAAGCTCCTCTGCTTAACTTTTAAACCTTTCACAACTGGTCCCAACCTACCTTTCCAGCCTCACTGAATACTGTTCAATCTCTATTGAATATTGCTTCAACTATACTCTGCAATACAGAAAAACTGGCTTCTCTCTGTTCCACATACATAATACTCCACCTCTTTTCTCTGTGCCTTCGAACTGGCTGTCCCCATTCCTGAAATGTTACCCCTCTCCTCACTTCCACCTCACATAATCTCATTCTTTCTTTAAGACATAATTCAGGGGCAGCTAGGTGGTACAGTGGACAGAGCACTGGCCCTGAAGTCAGGAGGACCTGAGTTCAAATCCGGCCTCAGACACTTGACACTTACTAGCTATGTGACCCCGGGCAAGTCACTTAACCCCACTGCCTAGCCCTCCCCCCAAAAAAAGACATAATTCAAGTACCTACTACCTTCTAAGTGAAGCCTTTCACAACACCCCCAAACAGTAGTGCTCCTCCTCTCAAACTACTTATATTTGACAACTTATATTATTTGTATTTATTCTCTTTAAATTTATTCTGTATATTCTTATTCTTACACTTGTTATGTCCCCATTAGAATGTAAGTTACTTGAGTAGACTTCATCAACTTAGTTACTGCTTCCAGTGGTCTAGATCACAGCCTATTCATGCCCTTCTCATTCTCTGTGACTTTCTACTATTTCTTCTCATAAACTTCAAAAATAGTAAAGGAGCTGTCCATCTATTGCCAGTTGCTCTCACAAATAATCTACCACTAATATTTCCAATTCTAAATATCTCTCTAATAGCTTTTCTGCTACTTCATATACATATTTTACATACTTGCATATAACTGTCATAACATGCATAATTTAATATCCTATTTATATCTACCATGCCTCTTTCTAGTATTTTCTGGAGGACTCATAACTTTGATTTCTCAAGGACTATAATGTTTTGTGATTCATAGTTATACAGTACCACCAGAAAAAAAAATAGTGTTAAAAGATAGGATATTGTTCCAATCTCCCTAAGACAAAGCTTCCACATTTATAAAAAGAATACAGTGACTGCCTATGTATCAATGGGTCCAACCCCCTCACTTTATAGAGAAGGAAACTGAGACCCACAGAATGGAAAGCGACTTGCCAAAGATCACAAAAGCAGAGTCAGACTTCAAATCTTGGCTTCTTGAATCAGTACAATACTCTTCCCATAACAACATGTTGGCCTATAATATCTGAGCATTGAATAATAAAATTCATAAGACAGTGAAATGTATAAAACCTGTAAAACACTATATAATAATTATTATAAAATTTGTGTTTTTTATAATTTTTCACTAAATATTTTCATGTTTATAACAGATTATTCAAATTGGGAGGGAAAAAACACACTCTACTACTGAACCAGTATAAAATTTATTTAATATTAAGCATTTTACTTCACAACTGAAACCTGAAACAGTTGAAAATATATATTTTGAAAATGTTTTTCTCAATTTAAGATCTGAGAGAATTTCATATATAGTTGATGCTAGAGTGTAAGAATAGTAAAGATATTACATAACTTGAAAATTTTATAATATGTTTCTCTCAGTACATTTCCAGGTTAAAGGCACTGCACCAGGCTGTATGGGGACATACAAAGATGAATAAGACATGATTGCTTCCCTCAAGATTAGAAGCAAGAAAAATATCAAGTCATACTACCCAATTAACTTAGTTTCTATAACGTAGTTTATACTATCTTATTTCCTATTTTCTAACAGTTAACCTATAATAAAATAGTAAGCTAATATCCCACTGAAACACATATTCTATAATAATCATTTACCTAATAAAATCTAAACTGTATGAATTGTATCAGTTCTTTTATTAAAATTTGAAACCTAAAGATTTTTCATTATGTCAGCAAAAATTCTGCATATATTAAAAAGGCTGGTCTCATATATGCCTAATGCCTGAAATTTTTAAAAGTTACCTGGCATTTTCCACTGCATTGGAGGATGAAATTAGCTTTTCTTCCAATATTATAATTTTCTTTTTCAGTTTGGCTTCTCGATCTTCTGCAGCCAAAGCTTCACGGGTATAGGAATCTTCTGTTTCTAAAAGATGGTTACGCAATCTTTCTAGCTCCTGGTTTAAGCGTGATTCTTTGTCACGAAAATGTTGAACCTGGGCAGAACACATTTCTTCATTTTATGCTCATGATACTTCATTTTAATTTTTTTTACTAAAATTACTTTGTTATTAAATGTCACAACTATTAAATGGTTATTACTTTATCAAATTATAAGGTATATTATTATATCTAAAAATGTAAGTTACACAAGAGTTGCTGATCTCTATAATTGGAAGGAAGTTCCAGACCAAGAATTCCCCAAAATTCATAGTTCTGAGCCATTAAAAAAAAAAAAAGGACATAAGCTTAGTCTAAATAATTGACTAGATATTATCCTGTATCCTCATCTACTAGTACCCTTCTGCTTAAGTTTATAAACCTAGAAGGGCAGCACTCTGAAAAATGAAGGAATTCAAAAAGACTTGGCCCCTCATGACATCCTATTTTACATTATTCTTTTCAATTTTTCAGGAGAGAACAAGAATATCAGTCTTTTTTGTCTAAGATACTTCACATTTTTTCATAAAAACTTTCATTTCAAAAAACTTAAAAAAAAAACCCCTTGAAGATTCTTGAAATGAAATGTACCACAATGAATATATTTCTAAGGCTTTGGAATGTCCTTAGGGCCTTAACTAAAATGGCATCTGTGTGAGGAGAAGGAAGGGGATGGAAGATTTTTATGGAGGCAGATACAGCAAGATCTGGCAACTGATTAGATACACACGGTGTCAGTAAATAAATGTACTACGCTAAGCACTAGAGATACAAATGGAGGCTTCAAAGGAGTTCATAATCTAATGGTAAGTGAGATGCTGAAGACAACACTGGGAGATTTGAAGGATAGTACAAAGTGCTTTACATAGGATTAGGGAAGTTTGGAAGATATGTAGGTTGGGCTGGAAGAAGTAGGGGGAGACAAGGAGTTCTGTTTCAGACATGGGTTAGGTCGAGATGTCTCTGGGATATACAGTTTAAAATGTCCAATAAGGAAACTGATGTTGTGAGTATATACTCACCTCTGCTTCCTCTCCTCTGACTCTATTCCAAACCCTCTACAATCTGGCTTCCAACTTCATTATTCAACTGAACCTTCTCCTCCAAAATAACCAATGATAACTTAATTGCCAAATCTAACAGCCTTTTCACAATCCTTATCCTTCATGACCTCTTTGCAACCTCCAACACTGTTGACCACACTCTCTTCTCTAGGTTTTCATGATTCTGCTCTCTCTTTGTTCTTCTCCTGTTGTTTGTCCTTTGTTTTCAAAGAGGACCAACGACATCACAGGTGACATCGTGACTCATGCATGAACTGGATTTACGTGAGGCAGAGTGCCACAAATTCATCATCCTCGAAGTCCAATGGCAAAAGTCAAGATGCAGTGGATGACCTTGGTGTCTTTGATGCCTGACCAAGCTCTAAGCACTCCACAGCACTTGCTTCAGCCACTTTCATGACCATTGGAACAAACTGTTCTTAGCCACCCATTCCTCAGGGGAAGTCATGCTTGGGGTAGACATCCCCCTAACTCACCAACAGTTTTGAGGCCTGTCAGTTACCCTAAACCTGGTTAAGCCTGTTTGCCTAGGTTGTTTACCAGAACATGGCTGCTGCACATGCTACAGATTCTTGGAGCCACAGGTAAAAGTTGGATGAATCAGGTGGACACCAAAGGTGGATGAGCAGCCCTGAAAAGGGCTTTGCAAGCCCTCATGCCAGAGGTGCTAGCCCTCCTAAACACCCCACACACTTGTATAACCATTCCTTTTCAGGCTCCTATGCATATACATCCACTGGGTGTGCATATGTATGTATGTATATGTGTGTGTATGTGTGTGTAGAAATACAGGAGATAGATAAATAGATATCTTCCAAGTACAGTTATTTGCTTTTCATCCCCCTCATTAGTATGAGTACCTTGAGGACAGAGCCAGTGTTTTTGTCTTTTTTTCAGAGGCGGGGAGAAAAGTGAGGTATCTCCAGCACTAAGCAGAGTGCCAGGGAAGCATTTAACAAGTGCTTGTTCAATAACTACCTAAAATCAGGCCTCAGAAAGTAATGAGAGTTGGAGGGATTAAAAGTCAGGATGAGGGCAACAGGTTTAGAAGGGGTGAGGAATAGGAAGAGATGTTATTATAGGTGGTTTTGATCAGACAGAAGAAGGTCAGTATTTTTGACATAGGAAGGTGAACACTTGTAGATAATAGTGTCGATGCTGTGTGAAAGGAAAGCTATAAGAAAGATAAATTAATTTTACTAAAAAATGTTTTTCTAAATCAAATAAGATTCTTTAATTCTTTATTCTTATGGAAGGTACAGCCAGGTGGCACAGTGGATAGAATGCCAGGCCTGGAGTCAGGAAGACCTGAGTTCAAATCCCAGCCTCAGACACTAGCTGTGTGAAATTGGGCGAGTCACTTAATTGTGTTTGCCTCAGGTTCTTCATCTGAAAAATGAACTGGAGAAGGAAATGGCAAACCACTCCAATATCTTTGCCAAGAAAACCACAAATAGGGTCACAAAGAATCAGACACAACTGAAAATGAACAACAACAACAAATTCTTACAGAAGTATATACCTCATTCTGTAGGGAACTGCTTTCCATTTGTTTCTGCTTTAGGGCCAACATGACTTGGTCTCTCTCCTGCTGAAACTTAACTGCCTTATCCTGCATGGACTTAACTTCATTTAATAGCTGATTCAATTCCCCAGTGTTACCCTTTTGAAAAAAATATTAACAAGTTTTAGGTATCTACATAGTCTTTTTTAAAAAAAATCTTGATTTCAATAAAGAATTAGATTGCTTTCATTAAATGTGCATTCATTAAATGTATATAACTGTATTGAAAATTAGTAGTATTAAATGGAGAAAACAAGCCATTTGCTATATGGAAACTTTAAAAAAAAAAAACCATTTTGGCATAGATTTAAGAAAAGCAATTTTAGAATGCTAGCCACTAAATTTAGTCAGGGAAATTATTTCCTGAAAACATTCTGTACATGTACTGTACATTACTACATTCAGGAAGAAAGATAATCTCTCAGTTTTAAAGGAGAGTCATGTTTTAAGCAATAGCCAGATTTTGTAAAAAAAAAAAAATCATTTTAAAAAATATTAGTTTTATGACTGATTTTTCTCACTGTTTAAATATGTATGATATACACATACATAATATGTACTACATTAGGGCTTTATATAAACATTTCACTTCTATAACATTTAATATCTATAATTTGATCCCAGAACATTCAGAACAAGTCACTGAAACCAAACAATTTGTTGCTTATATTTCAATGTCTCTTCTTAGAAAAGGAAGCCACAAATTTCTAGGTAAAAGGTATAAACATTACAAGAAAGATACATTATAAAGAAGTGAACGATAATATGAATGTTTAAAAACACTTCTTTTCAATAAAACGATTTTGCTTGCCAAACTTTTCTCAATGAAAATAATATAAAAGTATATTTTAATTGTATTGGGTATTAACACCTACACACAACCATAGTCAATGTTAAAAAGTTACTAATTCTAATGCACTTGAGAGGGAGGCCTTTCAGGTGGCAACTAAATTTTATAACAATAACATATATACTACATGCCTTAGAATAACAATAGAAAGGAACTAGACATATGAAAGATTTGTCTGTAAGGGTTCTATATACTTAAATCAACCTATTTGCTAGCATATACTATTGAGAAATTTAAAATATATTTATAGATCTGAATAGTTCATAACACACATTGAACACCTCTTTATTGCTAATGAATAAGAAACAACTTTTGCTCTGTAGGGCTTTTTTTTTTTCCCAGAACTGACCAAGACCTTTTAAGCTAAGGAATACTAGTTGTAACTAGGAGTCTAATCTCATCTTATGTATTACTTTTCTTAGGTAGCTAATCATGTAAAGAAGCAGAAAAATTCCTATGGTATTTAAGTTTCCATTCAAATGGCAATATGGAACAAAAATTTCAATTCAATTCATGCATTTATTAAGTAACTACTATATGCAAGGCACTGAGTATACAAAGGTAAAAGTAAAACATTCCCTGGCCTAAAGTAACTTACATTCTACCACAGTGTACCATGTACACTGGATATTTTGCTTTCCAAGTGTACTTTTCTCTAGGTATAACAACAGCTAAGAACTATAAATACATGTGCCTTGGTCTAGCATTATGCTATGTGCATAGTATTCAATAAATTAGACTTATTAAATTGCATGTACAACTCAAAATAATTCATACAAAGTACTTAGGATTTCATATCTAAAAATGTATTGTATAAAAAAAGATAGATACATGGCATTAAGATATTTTTCATGTTTGAGTAAAACCAAAAAATTTAAAGAGATTTCCTTCTCATATGAGTAGAATTGCTATTTTGTAGACAAAAGACTTTGTGAACTTAGTGACAGGTATTAAGATTCGTAAGATCAAACTAAATCTAGTATTAAAGAAGCAGTCACTTAAAAGCAACAACTAGCACTCCCTCAGGCTTGCCTTTGACAATTTTTTTAATCACCCGATTATATTTCTACATTTTCTCCAACAAAGATGACCATGAGAGACAAAGTCATAAGAAAAATCTCTCTCCCCAATCCACATAGCCCTTTCACATACCTACAAAGAAAATGTACCTGTTCTTTTTCTTTTAATAGTTTCTCAAAAGCAAGAGCTTTTTCCTTCATTGAATTTGATTCAAATTCTTTTTCTCTTAGCATCATGGAAATCTGCATATTGGTCTCCTGCAGTGCTCGAAATTCTGTTTCCTTTTCCCTGGACATCACTACAATCTTTTCATTTTCTTCCTTTAGTTTACAAATATCCATTTCTAAAATTAGAGTTCTCTCTTTAAGGTTTGTTACCGCCTGCTTTAAGAGTTCATTTTCATTTGTCTTGTTAGTAAGATTTTCATTTAAAGAAAGTAACTGATCACTTTTGGCTTTGATTAAGAGATCTTTTTCCTTAAGTGATTTTTGTAAAATGTCTCGTTTCTCCTTAATCTGCTTAATCTCTGAATCAATCTCTTCTTGTTCCTTTCTTTCAAGTCCTGAGGAGGCAGCAACAGAATCACACAATCTATGATTATTCTCCTGGAGAGTCCTAATTGTTGCATCTTTTTCTTGTAATATTTTTCTTAGCTGGTCTAATTCTTCTTGTAGAGATTTAGAAGCCTCATTTGATACTTCAGATTGTCTGTCAACTGAAGATCTAATTGACAACTGTGGTGAAACAACATCAAGTTTTCCCAGAAGAAGGTCCTTCGTGTTATGAAGCTGCCCTATACTATGCTGAACTTGCGCCAACTCTTGACCAAAACATTTGAGTTTTGTTTCATTCTGTTCATAACTCTGGATTAAACCATTGTAGTCTGCCTGTAACTTGGAATTATTATCACTATCAACCAAAACCTGAGCCTGAAGTTTATGAAGCTCCTCTTGAAGCTGAGCAGACTCATGTTGCATATTTTGCACCGTTGTTATTACTTGCTGCTTCCATTCTTCCATCTTCTTTACTTGCTGTTTTAATTTATCACGCTCCTGTAAAAGTTCCTCAAACTGATTACTATTAACACCCCCAACCACACTACCATTACCAGAGTCAGATGTCTGTAAAACAGTCAGTAAAGTCTGACATTTCTGACTTAATGCATCTATTTCAATGTCTTTTTCTCTAATGATCCTAGATAAGTTCTGAATGGTTTCTTTAAACATATCCTGACCACTACTTTCAAATCTACTAGTCAATTTTTGGTTTTCATCTTGAAGTTTTAAGAGAGCTGCTTCTTTGGCAGCTACTATATCCATGATTTTATGATATTCTGTTTTTAACTGACTATTCTCCCTAGTCTTTTCATTCAAAACAGATAATAATTGTTCTCTTTCCATAATGTAAGTCTGAAGTTGCTGTTGGAGGTAAACAACATCCTGCATGTAGGATGCAGAAGAAATTCTGGCATGAAGAGCCTGTATCTCCAAATCTTTCTGCTGAATGATTTGTGTCAGTTTACCAACTTCATCTTTAGACAACTGATCAATCTGCCTAGTTAAAGAAACATTCTTTTCACTTAAAAGCTTAATCTCCATCTCTCTTTCCTTTATTCCCTTTACCAATCTTTCAATTTCAGCTTTTGATAAATCATGTTTTTCATTTCCATTTTCTACATTAAGCGTCTGAACTTTAGTTTCCTGAAAGATATCAGAGGTTTCTGTCTGGATGTCTTGTCTTTCTTCATGCAACTGAGTTTTAATTTGATTGATTGTCTTTTGTAAGTTTTTTATTTCTTCATCTTTTTCTAAAAAGAGCTGTGTATGTGTAATATTCATTTGCTCATGCTGGGATTTAAACTCATCTATTTCCTTTTTCTGTTCTTGTAAAGTCTGCAAAAGTTGCATCTTTTTCTGATTTTGATCCTCAATCGTCTTTTGGTAATGTTTTACTTCTTCCTCAAGATTACCCTTTATTACATTCAGCTGTGTTATCTCAGTTTCAAGTTCAGTGATAATATCCAGGGTTCTAGGCTCAGCCACTGGCATAGATCTACTTTGCTGGTCCCTGAGTCGTTCAAGTTCTTCCTTTAGATGATTGTTTTCTTCCTTCATAACTGCAAGATTTTTATCTTTCTCTTCTATAGTTTGTCTAAAAATTTCATTTTTTTCTGAAATCTGAATATGTGCATCAAGTTTCTTCTGAAGTTTCAACCCTTTGTCTTGAAGTTGTTCAATGAATATCTCCTTCTCCTTTATGAGTTCTGTTAACTCCTTCTGCCCTGCTAAACTCGCCATTAGGATTTCTTTAGTTTCTTTATGATCATTATCCATCTGCTCAATTTTGTTTTTGAGTTTTGCAATCTCAAAATCTCTCTCTTGATTAAGTTTAATTAAGCATTCATGTTCCAACTGTAAGGCAGAAGTATTCATTTTGCCTGCATTTGACAGTTCTTCAATGGTTTGCTCATATTTGTGAGCTTGCTCCAACAATCTCTTTTCAGATTGATGTAATTCTACTTCTAACTGCCCTTTCTCCATTCTTAAAGCTTCAATAATAGTATCTTTTTCTAGGGAAACCTGATTCTTAACAGTAACAGATTCCTGCAGTTGCTGTCTTACATCTTCACAAGCTAAAACCAACTTTTCATTTTCCATTTTGACATCAAAAACAGTTTTCTCTAAATGTTTATTGAGTTTTTTCATTTCTGAAAGATGTTTATTTAAGTTCCTAATTTCTGTTTCCTTTTCTTTAAGTAAGTCATTCTGAAAGTTACTGTTAGGTTCTTGATTAAGAAGCTTAGTTAAGTCATTCCTAGTGATAAAAAGATCCTCTTCATTCTGTTTTATTTTTTCCTGAAGCACTGAATTTTCCTTTTTAATGTTCATAATGTATTCCTGTGATTTATCTAGTTGATCTACTAAATCCTTAATTTTATCCTCAAGTTCCAGCCTATTTATATTCAAATCATGAATGGCTATTTCTCTCTGTTTAAACTTTTCTTTGTGTACTTCTAGTTCTTTAGTAATTTTCGTCTTTTCATTTTCAAGTTGAGAAACTCTCTTCTTTTCATCATTTACATCCTGTTTTAGTTTGTTAATGGTGATATCTGCTTCATTTTGTTGTTTTGATAGTTGGTCTTTCATCAAAATCATGTGCTGAAAAAAATACAAATTGAAATGGTAATTTTAAAACATTTCACCGTGTCTCAGTTATGAAGATTTTATAAAATTATCTATTATCAAATGATAAATGCTCATTAAACTTCAATATCAAAAATCAGCCATTTATAAAATACCTGTCACTACCTTTTTTAAAATATCCAAACAGTTTGAAGTAACTTTATATTATCAAGTTTGTCTTAGATAACTTCAAAAACCAATGTTTCCTATTAAAGATAAAAGATTTAAGCAAGGAAAGAGAAACTATTTTGTTTCTTACTTATTTCTTTATATTAATCAATACTAAATATTAAATAAATACTAAAAAAAAGTAGCTTCCAAAATTAAATTAAAACAGACTATAATAAATACATAACACAAGGAACTTATATATGTGTATATAAAGAGTCTTTTCTAATAGAAGTGTCTATAAGCATCAATAAAATTTATTTTTAAATAATTTTAAAATATAAATTTTTAAAAAGATGTCTGTCTGCCTAAAGATTTTCTTTAGTCTGATAAGCTTTACATAGCACTAAAGTTGTGAAAAAGTTTCTCTTCTGTACTCTAAAACAAAATTAACAGTCCTTTATCATCATCATTGTATGAAAATAACAAATCATAATATGAATGAAAAGCAACCAACTTTTCCTTATTGACAAAATCCTTCCCATAAAGTGCTTAGATAAAATAAAAGAAATTGACTGGGAACTATAACATATCCCTACACTAAAAGAACAGGTTAGAAAACACTAAGTACATTTAGCATAGTACCTGACCGCATAGCAAGTGCTCAATAAATGCTTACTGACTGACTAACAATGCTTCTTTATTTTAATGTGGTAGCTACTTTATATTCCAGAGGCAGTTGGATGTCCAGTTTTAAACAAATAAATTATAAGGGGAAAAAAAGAAAACCTCTTTGTATTTACTTCCCTCTCTTCTTTAGGGTTGCATTTCCCAAAATCTGGCACCCTAAAACTGAATAACTGTTTCACTAGTTTCCAACAAAAGTACTCCAACTTAATTGGCATAATTGACAATAGGTTTTCATATTTCAAAGCAACTAATACTTATTTGTGTAATGACTTAAGCCTGCAATCATACCATTTCGAAGGTTTCAGTATACATGAATTATTCCAACCTATTACTTAGATCATCTTATTTGAAGATTAAAGAATAAAACACTGAAGCTTAAAGTTTTTATTTTTCATTCTTTTCATAGGCATTTTCATATCAGTTTTGGGAAAAGATAGCTGCATATTTATCCTCCCAAATAAACAAACATTATCCACACAATTGCATGTTGTTTTAAATAAATTAACAGTAAAGGAAAATATGGGGGAAAAAACCAACAATTTTCTTGTACTCTGTATGTATACAAAGTATGTATACAAAGTACACAATAAGTTAGGAATCGATCTTGTTCCACTACTAAGTATAGCAGGATAAAACCCCTTTACATGGTATAGTATAAAAACTTAAAATATTATATCACAAAATCCAGAGTTTGAATTAAATACAAAGAACTGATGATATCACTGATAGGGATACAACATCCAAAATGGTCATAATTTAATTATACTTTGATAATACCTCAATAACAACTGAATATCATAAAAATATTCTAATTAGGAAACTCTTACCAAGACAAAAATATTTTCAAATAAATCAAATGGCCTATCTATTTACATATGCTACAATGAAATTAAGTTGATATTAAAAAATATATTCATAAAAATTACTTTTAAAATGAATTTCAATACAACAATTGATAAACAATAGGCTTCCAATAAGTCCAATAGATCAAAAAGGTCAGTCTATTTTATTCTAACACTTACTAGGGTATTTTGAGTGGCCATCTACTTTAGAGAACATAGTTCAATTCCTTTTTTATTTTTACCTATGAGAGTAAATAGCCACAAGACACAAATATATTATTGGAAAGTTGTGTATAAATCACAGTTTTATAGACTGATTTCTTTAAGGCCAACGAGGTGGCTCTCTATTTAACAAATCATGTAGGTTACAGGGAAATATCTTGTAATCATGCTTTATGTTTTATAAATTCAGACTTCTGTGTATTGAGTTTTCTTAAAAATGGAATTCACCTGTACAGTCTTCTAAAGAAGACTTACCATTACCACAAACTTGTACTGCAAACTGTTTAGTGTTAGTCTTATGAACTAAATGAAATTAGCTATTTTAAAAATGTGAGATTTATTTAAAAAATTTTTTGATGTAAAGAGAAAACTGCATAAAAATGACTACAATTAAAATGACAAGAAAATATACTAAGCATCAAGAGTGCCCTCCAGTGGAATTAGTACTTCTTGAGGTAAATTTCTTGCTCAATTGAGGAGCTGAAAGGATTCTCTGGTCAACTATGAAATGATATTCTAGTAGCCACCTTCCTTACAAAATAACTAAAAAGCACATCATGGTAGACACTCACAGAAGGCCTGACCAATCTCTCTGGCAATATCTATTCTACATCTATCAAGCACTAATAGGCAAAAATTATTTGAAATAGAGGTATAATGTACAATAAAACACATAAAATCACAGAAATTTAGAAGTGAAAAGGACCTTAGAAATCAACTAGTCATCCAAACCATGTGGTAAGAACATTTTCACATGTATGTGATTTGTATGCAGGAGGTAGAAAATGCAAGTGACATTATCTTTTGACAGGTGGCTGAAACACATCACAGAGAATATCTTCACCAAATTTACATTGCCAGTCAGTGGTGAAGCAGAGATTTAAAGACATTTTGTTTGCTAGTCCACAATTCAGAAAATCAAGCAAATCAATTCAGTAGACCAAGTAGGTTCAGTTTCTTTTCTATGTTACCTTGGTAGCTTCTTGATTCTGATTGTCTAGTTCTTCTAACTCTGCTATTAGTGTTTCTTTTTCAGAAATACTTTCATTGAGTTCTAGTTTCTTTGTTTCCAAATCAATTTTTAAATTATTTAACTCTGACTTCAAATTCATGTCTTCAGTAGATGGGAACTTAATGGCTTCAGGTTCATTTTGAAATGTTAAGAGTGCTTTTTGAAGTTCTTCCTTAAATTTGGGGGGAAAAAAGAGGGAGGTTAAAAAAAGATATTTAAATTAGTCTCATATAAACAAAAACTCAGTCCTATGGTCAGATCTAGACATTAGAGAACATATAGTCTTATCTTTTATTTATAAAAAAAATTTATTTACAAAAAATTCCAGTAACTATAATTTTGAAGAAAATGAGGTTAAAAGTAGAAATGAACTATATCTTAGGAATTCAAGGAAAATCACAGATTACCCACAAGAATCTATTCTAAATGCTATGTTGTAAATATAAACAATGATAACCTAGGAAAAAAATTCCTGGGAACAAGGCTTATTTTAAAAAGATCCTTTAAATAAAGTCAAGAAAGTTAAAATAAATAAACAAATAAATCATTAACAAAGAATTGCCTTTGTTTGCAGCTGCAGAAGAAAAACTGCAAATTTGTGAAGACTTTAAACTTACCGTCTATTCCCAAACACTTTTTCTATATTTTCCCCCCCAGCTCATCTCCCTCCCATCTTTAAGAATCCAAAGAACTCTTTTCCCTCAAATCCTTTCCCTTCAACAAATACTATAACCAGTTATTTATACTTACTGCTTGACTGACACTTTAATTAAACATTTATTCACACGCATTATCATCATAGTAATGCAGCTGTCTTTCAATTTCAATTGTAAAATACTTTCTTATAAGTTATAGGAAACTTTGAGCCAGTTACACTTTCTCTACAGCCAATACCTGTCCTCTTCTCCAGATGCTGCCATATGACTAGATAATGAGGAGGATGATAACTGATACATATTTTGTGTTTTCTGAATGGGACACAAATTGTACCTCTGACAGAACTACCCATATGCATGATGTGGGTTTTGTTTTAGTATTATTCTTACTCTCAATGACCCTTAACTGACATCATAAGAGGCTTCTCTTTCCAGCACTTCTTAAAATAACCCACAGTTTAAGAAGCACTGAAGGGGTCATAAGCGGAAAAAATTTAAGAAGCCCTGGTCTATACCAAGGATCCCAATCAATTTCATGGATCCTCACAATAACAACTGTATTATTAATTGTACTATTGATTAAGAAAGCAAATAACAATAAAAAGCAATTATGAATTCAATAATACTTTTAAAAGAATTTGTATTTTATTAATTGCAAAAGCATACATTTGAAAAATACTAATATGGGCCAGACATTTATTATTGCACTGTATATTTTGTTGTGATCCAACCATCTTGCTGGTATAGAAGGTCTCTAGTTAATCCCACTGGAATATAGAAGTCTCTTTCATATTTGCTTAATTTTAAAAAGGAATCTTTATCCACATTTGTGACTCTTTACAAAAGTGCCTCCATTAATGAAAACCTTGAATTCCTTGGAGACAAGCCTTGGTCAGAAAGTTCATGGCATAAGTTTAAAATAATATAGAACAATGGTTACTAATTTGTGTATCCTAAGACTGAGG